AGAGTACTAGAGGACCGACGGCGGCTGCCTGTGGTTACCGGCCCTCCCGGGTGCCAGCCCGGGCCGGGGCCTGGCCCTGACCTGGAAGGCCTGTGGGCCTGTGGGCTAAGACGCTGGGATGACCCCACCTTACAGATGAGGAAACGGAGGTTCGGGGAGGTCAAGCAGCTTACCCAGAGTGACCAGACAGCTGTGACTGCCCTCGGCGTGGTCCCGGGAAGCGCTGAGCCGTGGGGGTGAGGGGCGGCGGCCCTAGCTGAAGACTGTCCCCTCTCGCCTCCAGGGGTGCAGAGTGCCCTGTACGGCCTGGTCCTCTCCTTGCTCATCTGCGTGGCCGCGGTGGCCGTGTTCACCACCCACGTGCTGCTGCTGCTGCCCGTGCTGCTGAGCATCCTGGGTAGGCTGGGCCGGGAGGGCCGGGGGTCTTGCTGTTGGCCTCCCGTCTGCAGGTTTCTCTCCACCCTCGATGGGCACATCTCCCTGAAGGCTTCCGGCCACCCCAGCCCCAGCCACCCCAGACTGCTGGGAGCTGTCCCTCCTGTCTGCATGCTCCCCAGGGGAGCCAGACGACCTGAGGCAGCAGGTCTGGGCCCAGTGAGGACTTGCTGGCCTGTCCCCTCCTCCGTGCACTCACGCCCGCACTGTTCTCTCTGGCCTGCCCTCCTGGTCCACCCCACCCCGTTCCGCCCGAGGCTTCATGCACCCCGGGGGGCCTCAGATTTTGCTCACCCCCTCAAGAGCTGCGCTGGGCTGGGTGAGCAGCTCCCCCCACCCACAGGCATCGTCTGCCTGGTGGTGACCATCATGTACTGGAGCGGCTGGGAGATGGGCGCCGTGGAGGCCATCTCCCTGTCCATCCTCGTCGGCTCCTCGGTGGACTACTGCGTGCACCTGGTGGAGGGCTACCTGCTGGCCGGAGAGAACCTGCCCCCGCACCAGGCAGAGGTGAGGCCCCTGCTGCCTGCGCCCAGGGAGCCCTCTCACCCCTGGCCCCTCTAGGGCGCCGGACACCGCCTGACCCTAGCCAGGGTGTGTCAGGAGACGGTTTCCCACTGCTGCCCTCCGCGCCCGGGGCTCGGGTCGTAAGGCGGGGTCCGCTGCAGCCTTGGCCTTGGGGGTTCACGCCTGCAGCCGCTGTCTCCCTGAGAGACCCAGGGGCGAGGACAGGTGACGCCCGAGGGCCCATCGCGCTTCTCGGCTTGCTGAGTCCAGGTCTTGTTCTGTAGAGCGGGGAGCAGAGGTGGGCCCTTCCAGCTGTGACCCCACCATCCCAGCCCTGCCTCAGTGGCTTAGGGAGCACGGGCTGTCTACTCAGTGCCCAGTCAGCTTCGGCTGGGGTAGAAGTTTTGTTTTTTCCTACTTTGGAATTGTGTTGGTGTGAAAATACGCCCGAACACATAAATTAAATCGTGGTACGATCGGCTGCTTTTGGTCAAAAGATGGGAACCGGTTCCAACCCGCACTAGGTTTGCGAGGCCCCAGAGTGTCGGGACCAGCGTCCCGGCTGCCATAGCAACAGGGAAGGGCGCTGATTCTGCCCTGCCCCCACCCTGCGTGGTCATCCCGACGATGGAGGCGGGGTCGGCCCCTCCCGGCCAGGTCTGGACAGGGTCAGCGTGGGCGGCCGTCCCAGGCACCGCCCGCGCCAGGGAGGACCCCCACTCCCGCCGCCCGTGGGCGCAGCTTGGTTCTCGCCCGCACGCAGGACGCCCCCTCGCAGCGCCAGTGGCGGACGCTGGAGGCCGTGCGGCACGTGGGCGTGGCCATCGTCTCCAGCGCGCTCACCACGGTCATCGCCACGGTGCCCCTCTTCTTCTGCATCATCGCCCCCTTTGCCAAGTTCGGCAAGATCGTCGCTCTCAACACGGGCGTCTCCATCCTCTACACGCTCACGGTCAGCACAGCCCTGCTCGGCATCATGGCTCCGGGCTCCTTCACCCGGACCCGGACTTCCTTCCTCAAGGCCCTGGGCGCCGTGCTCCTGGCGGGGGCGCTGGGGCTGGCCGCCTGCCTCGTGCTCCTGCGCAGCGGGTATAAGATCCCCCTGCCCACGGGGACCTCCCTATAGCCCGGCGCCGGGGCCTGACTGCACACACCGCGCCCTCTGGCCGGGGCCTTCCCCCCGGCCTGCGCTCGCTGTGTTCCCAGGCCTGGGCGCCGTGCGGGCGCCGACACCTGTGTGGCCGCCGCCAACTCCGGCGTCTGGCCAAGCTGCACCTGCCGGCGGGGCGACCGGCATCTGTCCTGGCTCCCCTGCAGCGAAAGAGACCTCCTTCCTCCCATTCCGGTCACCACCGGGCCAGGTTATTTTTCAGGGGGTCTCGCTCCCATTGCTTCAGTGCTCACAGCAACTCTGATGTGGGTGTCCCAGGGCCCCCTTTCTGCAGGTGGGAAAACAGAGGCACCAGAAGGCAAAGTGACTGACCGGCAGCTGGGTCAGGGGCCCAGCGGGAGCTGTTTCCGGGCCCCGTGCTCACCTGGGGGGCCTTGGAGGACATGCCCTTGGGTTCAAGGGCAGGGGCTTTGCACCCCCTGACCCCTCCTCCCCTTCTGATCGGCTTTGTGACCAGTGCTGGGTGGTCCTGTGTCCGCCCCTCCCCCTGGCCTCCCGGTCCTGGCCTCTGGGAGGAAGGGCCAGGCTGGGCTCTGGGCTCTGCATGTACTACCCCCGCCCAGCCTTGAGACCCCCCGGGGACAGGGGGCCCAGCACAGACTTCCTCCCGGCCCGAGCCCTGATCTCCCCCACCCTACTCTGAGGTGGGATGTGGGGGTGGGGGCTGGCCAGGCCGGCTGCCTGCTCATAGCAGGTGGTCCCTATGAAGGTGAAATGGAACTGCAGACCGCCGCCATTAACACGAGCATTTTAAGCACCGCCGGCTCTACCGTGTTCTTAAAACTGAAATAACTGCATGTTCGCTTGCTGCCAGCCAGAGCCTGGCACTAAGGGTGGGCTTGGAGGGAGGTGGCGGTGGGTGGAAAGTGCTGGATCCCTTCCCGGGCACAAGGTCTCAGATGCCCAGGTGGTCCAGGTGAGGTCCGGAGCCGTGGGCTAGCTCAGTGAGCGGGCGTGGGGGGCGCCCCTCTGGCTGCTCTGTTCAGACAGAGCCCCTCTGTGCACGACCTCCACTTTGAGACCGGTGGAGTTAGCCCCTTCATGGCTGTACAAAGTCCAGGCTTAGCACTGGGCATGGACCGCCCATGGGCCAGCATCGTCCCTGGGCCTCAGGGCACTGGACACAGACTAGGCTGGGCAGGAATCCCCGCAAGCCCTCTTCAGGCCAGCTCCCTGGTCCCCTGCAAACACTGATGGGACCAGGGTACAAGGCCGGGGTGCAGAAACACCAGGTCCCTGCGGAGGGAGTGTCGACCCCCCCGGGCGCTCACTTGGAGGGATCGTTGAACCTTGGCACCCCACAGCGCGTCCTGAGGCAGATGCCAGGCAAGCAGTCTCGGCACCCCGAGTGCAGGCGAGCTGTGCCACGTGTCCCTGCACACAGCAAAGTGCCACCCTGAGGGTTTACGACAGCACAGGTTGATTCCCTTGCCGCTCCTGGGCCGGAAGTGCGAACCTAGTGTGTGGATGGGGTGCTCGCCTCGGGCTTGGAGGGAGACCTCGGCCAGGCACCGGGCTGCTGGCCACCAGCCGTCCCTGGCTCCCGGCCATCGACACGTGACGCGCACCTCTGCCTCTGTCGTCAGGTGCCCGTGTCGTCTGTCACAAGCCTTCCTCGGGGACACCAGCCCCGTGGGTGAGGACCCCCTGAGTGACCTCAACCCTTCCACCGGCAGAGATGCGACTTCCAAATATGTCCCCCTTCGCAGGTGTCAGGGTTAGGGCTCCGGCGTAACCTTGAGGGAGGGGACAGTGCGCCCGTCAGAGCTCAGCTCGCGTCCCTGGCTCCCCTGCAGTGGATACGTCACCCCGCTTCACACACAGGGACCAGGCTCCAAGAGGCTGTCTTCCCTGGGCCACACCCAGCAGATGTGCTGTCTACCTGTGCCCAGGGAGGGTCCTCAATCACGAAGTGGCCAGCTTCTCAGAGACCTGAGGGCCCCCAGGGGAGTTTCCACCTGGGGGTCAAGTACAAAAGCTGTTCTCAGGAAAGCTCTGAGCAGCGCTTCACAGAGTTTCCCACAGGCCTGGTGACACCTGAGCCCCCGGGGCCCCCAGAGGGCGCCCTGGCTGAGGGCAGTATGGTGCTCCAGGACCACGCGGCCATGAAGGAGCCGACTGGGATTCAGGCCCTGTGTCCATTGGCTCGAGCACAGTCACCTGGAAAGGCACGTGTGGGGGTGTGTGGGGGCGTGTGGGGTGCAGCGGTATCAGCTGCTCCCTCGCTCTTTCAGTTCACATGTTCACCCCAACTTTCACTGATCAGCAGGTCAGTCTGACGTTGCCCACGTCACAACCAGTGCCTCAGCCCTTGTGTGGGGACCGTGAGACTTCAGGGTTGCACCCCTTCAGTGACCACTGGGGTGGGGAGCAAACTCTGGGAGGCCAGGGAGGAGCAGGTGAGATGGGGGAGCGGGCTGACAAGTTGGCAGGCCACCCCAGGGGTGCTCAGGAGCAGGACTGTCATCACTGAGTTCTTGTCCAAAGACAAACTCATTTTAATGTGAAAGTGGGACATTTGCATATCATTTGCATGTGATCCAAATAATGCCCTTTTGTAAAGAAACCCTCATTTAGCTCATTTTCTTGCTTTTAAGAAACAGTTCCTCTTTCTTCCCCTTGGCCTCTCTCAGCAGTCTTTGGGGGGAGATGTTGGACAGCACATCGAGGAGGAGGCTCTGGCACCTCCCCTCCAAGTGACTAGGGCTCCCCTGTTGTGGGTACAACTCCACCCACCCGTCCCCTCTGTGAGCTGAGTCCCCATCTCTCAGCTGAACCCCCTGGGCGTAGACTGGGGCAGACAGGTGCACAAGCAGCCCAGCCAGCCCGGGGCTCTGCCCACCCGGCTCCCTGCCTGTTCACCCTATGTGGGCCGCGTCCCCAGTCCGGGGCTTTCTCTCCTCATCAAAACTAAGGGACCCTGTGTGGTGGCTGCACTGCCCTCCCGAGGGTGGGGGCCAGGACACGCCGGCAGCCGCTCACCTACTAAGAACCCCCCTCCGTCTTGTTTGTGAGCCTGGCACCCCGGCCCGGAGGCACCAGCTGCCAGGGAAGCACCCTGACCGTCCTCTGCCCCTGAGGTGAAGCTCACCGTCTTAATGAGCTTTTGCTGAGCATGAATGAGGTGCCCTCTGTTAGCTGGGGCACAGCAGCTGCGAGGACGTGCAGCGTTCAGTGGGGCCAAGGGGCAGAGGGCGAGGGACCCTGAAACTGCCAAGTTCCCCTGAGCCTCTGCCGTGTTCTTTGTGCCCTCGGAGGCCAGGAGGCATCAATGGGCCAGCTTGGGGGCTGCTTGCCCTGGCCCGGCCCAGCCATGCATCCCGGGAATCCTCACAGGGTGCGTTCAGGCCTGTTCACTGCTCAAGAACCGCAGCTCAGGGCCGGGATCCCCACCCAGCCACAGGCTGCCGGGAGTCTGCTCTCTACCACCCCCGCCCTGCACAGCCGCTCAGCACACAGCCGGGTCAGGCAACCCAGCACAGGCAGCCAGCGTCCTGCCCTTATGATGCCACCCTGCGTGCGCTCTGGGAGGAAGGCGCATCGACCTAGGTCGGCCCCAGCCCTGCTGGGCCATCTGAAGCAGATCACTGTCCTCCAGAAATGGGGCTGGGAGTACAATGGTGTCCAGAGTTCTGGTGCCTTCCACTGCTGAGCTGTCAGGACGAGTCTCCTGAAGCTAAGCTGCCCAGGGCCCATGGTCGCTGGCATCCGCCTCCTGCAAGTCTCATTCTCACTGGGCAGGGCCAGGAGGCAGGAGGACGCCCCTGAGCTGTCATCTGTTCATGCATCCGTTCAGCCACTTGGCTGAACACCTGCTACGTGAACACTGCTCACGGCTGGGGGACACTCGGGGACACAGACCCTGGCCCCCCAGACCTTATGGTCACAGGGGGAAACAGCTCTGACAGACGAAGCCCTCAAACATGTAACCCTGAACCAAAGGGCATGGGGGAGTAGAGCATGAAATTACATGAGGCTGAGGGGTCCCGAGGAGGGGCTTCTGTGCTGGGATTGATGGGGTCCGGGGCCAGGGTCCTTGCCCCGGGAGCTGACATGCTAAGGCATGAGAGAAGGGATGTCATGAAGGGACAGGCAGCCTTGCGGGACAGCGGGCAGGGAACAGGTTGACAGGGCAGCTCCTGCCACCTGAGGAGCTGGGCATTCCTGCCTGCAGGACTCGCTATTCTGCTCTGCCAAGTACATCGAGACGCAGCAGAGCAGGGGGGACCGGAGCCGGCTCTCAGATCAGCCTCACTAGCCCTGCAGGGAAAGCTGCCCGGGGAGAGCCAGTCTCCCTCCTGGGCCCTCCAGGAGGGGGAGTGGCTTGCACGCAGCTCCAGCAAGCTAAATACCATTGCTCTTGGCACCCAGGCCAGTGCAGGCCTGTGTAATGTCAGCCAGTCCAAAATAAAAATATGAGCCCCGAGGTTTGGGAATCGACACACCGCTGCGCCAGGGTCTCGCGCCAGCAGAGGGCTGTTGTCTTTGCCTGGCCCTGTTCCCTGAGGTTGCCTGGATTTGCCTTCCAGGGCCCAGCTCTGCCCTTTCTGCACCCTCCCTACCCCTGTGAGATCAGGATGCCGCAGTGGGTGGGGTTTGCCTCCCAGCCATTCGGAGGCGCTCAGGCCCCCACTCCACACCTCCAGGTGAGGACCTCAAGGGGAGCCTCTGCCAGTTCCTCCCCCCCCCCCCTGCAGTTCCCCTGAGCGTCACTGTCTCTGATCCAACGCTCCCTTTAATCTGCCTCCCTTGCAGTCTGCTTCTCCCTGTTCTGACCACTGCACCTTGGTTTTTCTTTGAGGGTCTTCCCCCACCTCACGGATACAAATGCACTGAGGCACCCTCCCCCCCCCCACTCCTTTCCCCTCCCACAAGGTGGAAGAGTGGACCCAGGTCCAGCCAATCAGTGTGTCCCATAACCGCCCCCTGCTCATGGCTGTTGATTCAGGACTGGTGCAAACCTGACCCAAATTAGGCCCTGAATGTCTCTGGGGTCTCGGTGGAGTTGCTGGGAGCTACACACCCTCGGGGCTCCAGACTGCAGCCGGCCTGGGAATGAGACCAACAGATGGGAGAGCGGAGTCAAGGTGGGGAGGTTTCTGATGACATCACCTGAGCCCCTGGATCCAGCCATTCCTGAAGCTACATACCCCTAAGTTGTTTTTTTTTTTTCTTTCTAAAACAAGTCAATTTCCTGTTTCTGCAAACCATTTTGAGTAAAGTTTACTCTTCCTTTAAACACCTCCCCCAACTTCACTGGCCCATTCAAATAGCTTCCCCTTCTTTCCTGAGTTAAACCCTGTTAAATCCTCAGTTCTTTCATATGGTGTTCAAGGTTCCTTGTGACCTGGGCCCAGACCCCTCCCCCTTCCAGACATCTCTCCGTCTGAATCCTCCAGTCACTCGGGGCCCCTCACGTCCCCCAGAGTGTCCCCATCGCCCTTCTGGGTGATGCGCGGCACCCCTTCCCTCCCCCAATTAACACACCACACTCATCTGTTCCCCAAGTCTCAGCTCAGGTGGCACCTCCCCATGAAGGCTTCCTCCTCGCCCTCACGGCTCTTTGCTGGAACACCGAGTCCCACTCGAGCTGTGTTCACATCCACCTCCCCAGGGAGCCCCCACAAAGTCCAGAGGAAGCTAGACTTTATCTGAGGGGAGTAGGGATACAGTGAGGCATTTTAAAAGCAGGCAACCATTTAAGACCTATCCATCTGGTAAAAGCCCAACAACTGAGAACAGTCCCTTGATGGGGCTGTGGCCTCATGGCCTCTCCTGTGCTCGGCTGCTGGGCGTGTAACTGGCCCAACCATTGTGGGTGGCGATTTGGGAACGACTCAGAATCACAATCCCAGCATCCTTTGGACTCAGCCGCCTACTTCTGAGAACATCTCCTGTGGATACACTGGTCGAGTGTAGAAATTACTCACTGAAGCCTTGTCTGGTATCACGAAGGAATGG